TAACTTCAGCTCCACTTGCTTGGAACAGCAGCTGAGTAAATCCTAAGAATGGAGCTGAAAGCGGGTGGGATCACCCAATGATCCCTCACCGAGTCAACACGAGCAGTGCCGAATGGAGTCTGTGGATAAAGGTCATGAGATGAGGTCACTGAGATGGTTTGGACATGTCTAGAGGAGGGACAGTGGATATACTGGTAGAAGGACGTTAGAAATGCAGCTGCCAGGAAAAAGACAAAGAGGAGATGTATGGATGCAGTTAGAGAGGACATGGAGGTAGTTGGAGTGAGGACAGTGAGACTCACTGAGGCGACCTGAAGAGGAAACAGCTGAAAGAAGAAGACAATATTTGTGCAGCAACGTTGAAATGTTAAAGAAAAGTCTTCTCGGTTTTAAAACAGATGTTTTTTTCTTTAGGATCGTGCATTAAGAGTTGAGACGATGGTTTCTGCGAGACCTTGGCGAGCTTTTAAACGGAGAGTGAAAAGCAGAACTGTCCTCCTGAGGGACATCACAGACTTTCATATTAAAAGCTCATTTTCCTCCCCTCTAAAATCCTGTACACCCGCCAAACAGAGAGCTAATGGAACCTCCTGGCTCTGCTTTAAGAGCGCTGGTGTCTGCCTCGCTTCCTCTGCCCTATCCTCCTCCTCCTCACTGCTCTTCATCTCAGCAGAGTTTGAATAACTTTAAGAAGAGGACAAAACTTATAGTCTTTAAGTTTAATAATCTATAATAACTAAATATCCTGATGCATGCTCAATAATCCAGGTAGAAAAATCTAAAAAAGGGGACTGAGGAAGTCTCTCGGATGAGAGACGAAACGTTTCTACATTTTTTGTTGATTTGCTTTTTTTTTTTTTGAATGTCCAGAGGACCAGATTTAACTTTTTTAGATATAATAACTAAAATTAACTTGGTTGTACAAATATGTGATTCAAACTCAAGAGAGGTTTAAGGTCAAGGTGGCAATAAAATCTTCCCTTTTCTTCTTTTGGATTTCCAAATAAAACAACAGGTGCTGTCAAAAATACAGACAATGGATTAAATGTTTCTCAAAACTTAACCATTTCAGCTCCTGGGCAGAAAACCAGCCATTATTTTAAATCATCTTCTTACAATAGAGCACAGGGTTTGTGCAAGTTAAACGATGAAGATGGCACTTTTATGGGAACTGGTTGATCCTCTGAGCACTGGGAAAAGTTGGGACTCTTAGACGAAGGAAGGACCGTATCAGAAAATATAGCTTTTTGATGCTTTTTAAGGTTTTTGCTTCATTAATCAATCATCTTCCAGGAGGAGCAGTGTACAGATTGTGTGTCTGTGGGGTTGTTGATTCACCAATCACTCTATTTTTTTGTTTATTAGGTTTCGTTGCATTTTTTGTGGTCTACTTTTCTGTACTTTGTGCTATTTAAGCCGTATGTTCATCAAAATGGTTGCTTCTATTGAGAATTGGGACTTCTGACCTTTGGCTTTTGTCATTTGTATACTTTTCAAAATATTTACCTTTATGTACAAACATTTCCCCCATAGAAATACATTTACTGTAGTACTCAGTGCTTTTCAACATAATTCTCGATGAAATCTGTTTCAGCTTACGTGCTCTTTATTTTTTTTGTCTTCGTTAGCTTTTAGCTTTCAGCAACAGTTCTGCATTTAGCTAATTTGATACTTTTAGCTAGCTTTTTGCTCCTTTTAGCTTCTAGATCATGCTGTGGTACCTTTAGTTACTATTTTGATATTTTACCTTGAACTTAGCCTTTTGCTACTTTTAGCTTCTAATTTTTTCACTTGTTTTTAGCTAGCAGTCAGCTACATTCAACTGGTACATTAGCTTTTAATATTTTGCAATTTTTGCTGGCATTTTGCTACTTTTGATTTCTAGCTAGCAGTTAAGATACATTTAATTAGCTTTGTGCTACATTTCTATATCAGCTAGCCTTTTGCTACAATTAGCTTTATCAAGTATTTTGCTACTTGTAGGTTTTAGCTAAACCTATTTTTTGGTTGTAACTAGCAGTTTGCTACTTTCAGCTAGCCTTTTAAGACTTTAACATTCTAGCTACAGTTTTGCTACATTAAGCTTTTATTATTTAGCAAGGACACCATTTTGTTACATTTTGCTTCTAGCTAGCAGTTTGATATTTTTAACTTGCCTTTTACTACTTTTCTTGCTACAGTTAGCTTTAGCAACAAGTTTGCTACTTTTATCTTTTAGCTAGACTTTTCTACTTTAACTTCTAGCTAAACTTTTGCTGCTTTTAGCTAGCAGCTTGATACATTTAGTTTTTTTCCCCCATTACATTTAGCTGTTTTGCTTCTGTAATTGCCAGTCTATAGAGTGCACCTGAATATAAGTCACATACACCTAATTAAAAACAAAAAAACAACAATTTTGTACTTATAATATATATATATATATATATATATATATATATATATATATATATATACACAAGCCATGCTTGTGTATAAGCCAGAATGCTACAATATGTATTGGTAACATACACAAATATGTACAACCTACCAGGAAGTCATTGATCGCTATAGTCCTCCTGCTACAAGCCGTCCTCCTGTGGAGCAAAATTGCTCTGTGAGCATGTGAGACTCACATGCACGAGTGTGACCTGTTTAGTAATTTCATTGGTTAGAATTTTTTTTAAACCTTAATTTATACAAGTAATCTCATCAATACACTCTTGGGGGGTGGGTCCTCATGACTCAATGAGACAACCTCATTGGTTCATTGTGGTTGACTGCTGGTCACATGGCCTCAGATAAGCCTGTGAAAAGTAGCAGTTTATTGATTGTAAATTATAGTACTTTCCTTCTTTTATCTAGTAATTTGTTACAGTTACCCAGCATATTGCTATGTTTGGTTTTAGCTGGTGTTCTACCTATTTTCGATTAAGTCAGATTTAAATTTTCTTTAACAAACTGCAGCGGTCATTCAGCACATAAACACTAAAACGATGTTGAACTTTATTTGCACAAAAATCACTGGATGCGTTTTCAGGTTTTTGTTAGATTTTAAGTTTTACAACAACAAAGCTGTTGTTCGATTATTTAAACTTTTATCTGAGCTCTGATGATTCAATAAGGCAAAATATAAGACCATTTGGGACAAAAGCAAACTGTTAAAATGGCTATAATATATGGTATTTTATTTCAGTTAAGAAATCCACAAGCACTCATCAATAAAGCGTGGTAAAACATTTTTGCCATCAGTTCAAACTCGCATGACGGCTCCTTAAAATAAATACTTTGATGAGGAAACAATACAGACGGAAAAGGCTCAAACCACACGGACAAACATATTTTCCAAATGTTCAAGAGACGAAAGGGTCTGAAAACTCCCAAAGTCAGCCCCGACTCTCCAACAAAAAGAGATTGTATAAAACGGTTAGGTATTTTTAAAAATACGTAAATCTTACAAAAAAAAAAAAAAAAGTTTAATTTCTTGTTCTTTAAATCACTGTAAAATATCAGCTGGCATTATGACAAAAAACAGAATTTTTCCACTTGTAATAATAAAAAGAATGTGCTTCCGCATTTTTTACATTAGTATTCACATATTTCATGAGCTAACGGTATAATCAGTCATCCCAGCCCCTGATGGTGTTCTGACAAAGGGCCGATCGTCGTCGTCCAGCTGGGGACGGTCACCAGTAACCGTGGTAACAACAGAGATGCTGTCAGTCCCAGGACACCCTGCTACGTCAGCCTCCGAAGTCTTCCCAGGGTACGATAAAGGAAACAATTGGCTTCGTCCGGCTGCTCATTGTCTTTGTAGATTATACGATCCAGAGTGTTCACATTTTATGAATATAAAAACAAAATCTTAAAAGCTCTGTCAACGTTCAAATGGTCCAAAAAGAGGAGAGTGAACAGTCATCAACAGGTGAAGGTTTCAAGAAAACAGCTTACAGTAAAAGAAGGTGGCGACACGTGGAGCATGCATGTATTTGTTGCTCTGTTCACACCCGAAACCCTCATGCGAAGACATACTGTAAAAAAAGGCCACATGGCTTTTTCCTTCACTATTAAATGTTTGTGTACTCCGACAGCTGGCCTCGTCGCCTGCTTAATTCTTCAACAAAAGGTGCATTTTATTATTGGTGGGGTTTTACTGTGGTGTCTGCTCCGTTCACACCTGAAACTCCCGCTGATCAGGTCAGATTCCCAACAAACAGACAGCTCCTGCAACGGGAGGTTAATTTGTTTAGTTTTCTTCTTTTAGGTATTTTTGTCTTGCTTTAACAGTTAAAAAGCATATTAATAAACAACGTTGGATAATCTTACTAGCTTAGCATAGCCTAAACTAAAGGACATAGCTAAATGTGTGCATAGCTTAAGCTAAAGAGCATTACTTTAGCTAGCAAGCATAGCCTAAGCTAAAGGCATAACCTAAATTAGCAAGCATAGACTAAAGCTAAAAAACACAGCCCAAGATAAAGAACATAGCCAAAGTTAGCATGCATCGCTTAAGCTAAAAGCATTACTTTAAGTGGCAAGTGTAGCCTAAGCTAATGAGCATAACTTAAGCTAGCTAACAGAATATGTTAACGCTAAGCGTAGCCAAATTTAAAGGCATAGCAAATGTAGCCTAAGATGAAAAGGATAACCTAAACTAAAGTGTTTAGCCTAAACTAACACATATAGTCTGAGCAATTACAAACAACCTACGCTAACGCAAATAGCCTAATTTAATGCAACTAGCAAAAGCTAACGTATGGTCAAATCTAATGCTAGCGTAAAAAATGAAAGCTAATGCAAATAGCCAAATGGTAATGCAAATAACTAAAGCTAGCAGGAGCAAATAGCAAGTTGGATTTGTCTGAAGGGTTCTGTATGAACAAGGGAATGAATTTTACACCTTTTGCTGAATGAAAATTGTTTATTAAAAATAGCCACGCTACTTCTTTTATTTCCAGTTTTAAGCAAACCAAAACCATATTCCAGTTTCAGATTTAGTACAAAGGAAAACCTTTTCTGGCCTAATTAAAGCAATAAAAAATCAATGGTTAAAACATGAAAGTTTTCTTTTATTAGCGACAAGTCTCCTAATTTGTGTTTAGATAAACGTAACGAGTAGTTACTGTGTATGCGATGTATGTGTAAACAAAAGGCAGTTGAGCTTGAGTCTGCTTAGCTTCCTCTAGTACAGATCACCAAAGAAGCCGGGTATTTCTATTCTATTCATCTGTGCAGCGGCTTGACGATGCCCTTCACCCATTTTCAATATCGATCATCAACTTCAACATCAGTACTGCAGAAACAAGAGAAGTATAACTTAAGATAAACACTCTAGGCACTGTTTGATTTCAAAGGCTTTTAGTTGTAGACTGTGAGAAAAGGTCAACAAACGTATAAAAAAATAAGAATTAAAAAGAAAGACCAGAAAGTGATGGTTCTGCAGACCAAACACTTCCTCCTCTGCGATACAAGTTCCTCCGATCCAGCTCGTACGACCAAACAGACTCACTTTAGCTCTGTGGTGGGCGAGGCTGAGGACAGAAAGTCTCTAAAGGGTAAATGTGAAGAAGTTTTCAAGGTCAAGTATCAGTTCCAGTCTTTAACCCATCTTACTCCTTCGTGAGCGGGAAAAAAAAAACAAAAAACGGTCGGATCTCAACCCATTATCTTTTGGGGAATCTCTATAGACGCCTTGATGAAGATGAAGTTGTCTCGAATGTAGTTCCTCTTCTTAATCTCCTCGTGCGAGATGAACTTGGGGTAGCCGAAGCCCAGGGTGCTCTCGTCCAGCGAGTTGCGGCTGCTGCTGGGCTTCTGGAAGTTCTTCCAGTTGGGGTCTGGGTTGAAGGTCTCTGTGATGTGCTGGGGTTTGGAGAGAGACGGGTCGCTCTGGTCCATGATGGAAAACGTCACCTTGTAGGAGAAGGGCCACTCCAGCAGGTTATCGTACTCTCCCGGCAGCACCCGGATGTAGACGGACAGGTGGGAGCCCTCTCCGCTGCCGTTCCCATTCAGGAAGGCCGACACCTGCAGCTTGTAGCCGTAGCGGTGGGTGTAGAAGGGCGGGCTGAAGAACTCGTGGTTGCTTCTGAGCTTGGCTTCCTGGAGCTTGCGGGAGTAGTCGTTGATTTTCCAGATGAGAACCCCGTCGTGGCTGACGGACAGCTCCTCCATCTCCCGTCGAAGCTCCATGATCTCCTGCCGCTGGCGGCCCACCAGGTTGCACATCAGGGTCAGGTGGGACTTGGTGGTGTCTTCTAGGTGTCGGCTAATGGCCAGTTTGGGGCACTTCAGAAAGAAAACGCATTAAATACGTTGACCAGTTCACAAAGTTTCACTCAGGTCAAAGGTTAAACACTCACTCTGTGTTTGCAGCCGGCGTCTTTGAAAGGACAGAGGACGAGTGCGTTGCCGCAGTTGTCCTTCACGTGGTTGGCCAGGTCTTCACGGGAGATGTTGGGGGTGCCGCACTGGTTCGGACACTGGACTGGAAAGCGAGGGCAGTGGTACTGGTGGTTCTATGGAGGAACACAACCAAATATAAACACAAAACCCGCATAGTGTGAATAAACCAGAACAACCAGTCCTAAACATTTAACACACAAGTTTAAAATGTGATTTCATTTAGGCTGATGATGATTTAATATTTAATCATCAGTTTAGTTCTTTGATTCAGATTTCTTCAATTCCTTCAAACCCATCTGAAATCTAATTCAACGTACTTGTTCCATTTTTGTTTTATTACGTTCCTTTAAGCTTTTAGCTATGGTTGTATTAATTTTAGCTTTTAGCTACAATTTTATGCAAATTAATTTTTAGCTCATATTTTGTGCACTTTACCTTTTAGCTACTGGTGAGCTCAGTTTAGCTTTAAGCTAAGATTTTAAAAGATTATCTTTCAGCAAGTTTTGAAAACCTCTGAGGATCAATACCCCCCCGCCCCCCCCCAACTTTTGAGCTGTGAATCAGACTGGGTTACACCTCGTCTTGACCCAGCGTGTGGGGGGAGGAAGAGTTGACAAAGGCCAGATGTGTGCAGAAGCAGGTGGTTAGACGTGTAAACAGCAGCTCACAAGGACAAAGACATCATGAGTCTGCAGCTACTGGAGACATTTTTGTTTTGCTTTATTTTGGCCGAAACTGTTCGAGTCCCGTGAAGGACGGAAAACAAAACATTCGCCCGAGCATCTCGGTGCAGAAATAACAAACTTCAGACAAACTTCACAATCCAGAATAAATCCGAGCCTTTGTTTCAGGGTGAGAACTTGTGGTCGCTGAGCTCATGGAAACCCACCTGGATTGTGTCGAAGACGAACTCTTTGCCGCAGTATTTGCAGGGCTGCGTGCGTTTGGGACACTCGGCCATGCTGTGCTGGGACAGCAGGCGACGCATCATCCTCGCCCCGCATTTGTTCTCACAGTAAACACTCTCCTGAGGACACACGCCTTGGTGGTTCTGGCATTAAACAGATAAACAAGTTTATATTATATAACCATGAGTGGAAACTCCGGCTCACGCTGCAGCTGCGCCGGGAACAAGACAAGAAAACCGGTTTGGGTTGTTTACCTCGTAGGCTTCTCCGGTAAACTCGCTGCCGCAGAACTCGCACTTGACCTTGCGCTTGGGGCAGTCGTGCTGCAGGTGGTCGGGCAGGTCGCGGCGCGTCAGCTTGACGGAGCAGCGGTTGGGACACGGGATCACGTTGAAGGCGCAGGTGGAGAAGTGGCCCTGAGGGAGACACCGAGACGGGTTAGAAGGCTTCTGCAGGGGAGGTTCTGGAGGAGGAGGAGCACGGGTTTTCTCACCTGCAGCTGCTTCATCTGGCCCGTCCAGCGGCAGCCCTCCTCGCTGTGGATGCAGCGGATGGCCAGAGCCAGGATCTGCTGCTCCAGCTCTGGATCTGGGTAGATCTGAAAAAAAAAAGAATGGATGAAGTCAATGTGGCAGAGCAGCTGAAGCCTCTAATTACAGTTTTATATATATAAAAAAATAATTGTTCAAGACTTATTTTTATAAGATAAAAGTGCACATAAAAACCATGAGCATTCATTTTTCACATTTCTAAAAACTTTACAACTAATTGATCTCTTCATTAAAAACAAGTTTTTATGAGTCTTAGATGAAGCGTAAAGACAATCTGTGACAGTCATCCTGTCAAAATAAAAGCTTGAAATCAACCGTAGTCGATGAGGAAATCTGGCTAAAAAATGTCAGAAACTAATCTGAATAAATGCAAAACAGCAAAACTGAACTCACAGAGCCAACACTTATCCTGCATTTCATATGAAACTGTACTGTTTTTGACAAAATGATAAAACACTCCAATACGTGTTAAAATTCTGTTGTTTCTTGTTATCAACCACAAAACAAACTCTAAAAATATCAGTGTTTTCTGTTTCTTTCATTTTTCTTATCAAACTAACATTTTAGAGCCATTCAAAGAAAATTACTGTAGTTGCTCTTCAGCTGCTCTCAGACTCTGCAGCTTCAGAAAATAGATGAATTGTGTCTTAATTCAGGGCTAAACATTTTAACATACCAGTTTATTCTTGAGTAAAATTAAAGCTACATTTCTCAAAATTTTAAAGGGATCTCCAACTAATTAGAACAATAACTTGAGCTATATAAACAACACTACAAAAATACTGTAGGCTCTTCAGTATACAAAGTACATACTGTACATATATACTGTGTATATATACATATATATATATATACATACATACATACATGTATACATACACATATATACATATATATATACATATATACATACATACACACACATACATACATACATACACAAATATACATACATACATACATATATATATATATATATATATATACACATACATACA